AGTCTGCTCCATCACAACGCAAAATTCCTTGAATCGCTCGATCATGGAGGCGTTGTGATCTCGCTCAATAGCAACCCCTTCCTCAGCCTTAGCGCACTTCAGCTCATGTAGTCGAGCTCTACACTCAGCTTCTTCAGTTCGGCGCTTAAGGTCGTCCATGATGCCTGCGGCCAACACATTGTTGTGCACAGCTTTGGCAAAAGTAGATAAAAAGTGTGTCAGCCGAGCAAACACACTTGGATAAAAAAAAAGTAGAGGAAGAAGCAAAGCAGAAATGCATGAAAAGAACTTAAAAGATGCAGAAAATAAATCAGACAAATTACCTGCATCAACAGCCTTTTGTTCTCAGCTACAGGATCATGCACCTTTAGTGCATCTTCAGCAGCCGCAGCAGCAGCGAAATTGGACCATCTTTCGGCCCTTTCCAGATCAGAAACTCTGGACAGGTCCCCAAGCAGACCAACTGCTTCAGCTCGGCGCTGGCTCAGAAATACTCTGGTAGCTTCAGGAACTTCTACCAGAGGGGGGGCTTGATGCCCCATTTGCTCGGATTGGAAGGTCCTGAATGACCCCCCAACAGACGAAGGTACATCCTGTACCTCCCTGGGAGAGTCATCTTCCATTTCTTTATCAGCCCAGCTGCCAGGCCTTCCTGGCAGCACCTGCAGATCACCATCAACGGGCGGCTGAATAATAAAAGCATCAGCCTCCCGCTGAATTGCAGAAGAAAAACCCTCGGCTTCTAACCGAGGGGATTAAGAAGTTGCAGCAGCAGCAGGAGTCCTTTGCTGGACTTCCTCTTCTTGTTGCTGCGGAGGCGGTGATGGCGGCGGCGATTGCGGCAGAGGGACCTCCTTCCCAGAAGGGGTAATCGTACAAGCAGCCTTCGTCGCAACTGGCCCCTCATCATCCGAGAGATGAAACTCCCCCGGCTGGATATAGGTCCTCTTTAATTTCTTCCTCTTTTGACCCATTTCGTCTGAGTCAATGTTAGATTCGGAGGAAGGAGAAGGTTGTCTTTTTTCCTCTTTACCGGACTGCAGCAGAGAAAAAAGGGGGGGGCAAGAGAGATGGCATCAGTATGCATGGCAAAAAAAAAAATAATAAAGCATGCAAAGGGCCTCAGCCGAAGAAATGTACTTATCAGTTTCTTATAACAGTACAGAGAAATTACAAGTACATAAGGACTAAAGTATGTCAGCCGAAGGAGGAGAAATCGCAAGTACTGAGCAAACAGAGTCTCAGCTGAGCAAGGGTACTTATCAATTTTTGAAATAAAAAGCAAAAATTACAAGTACGTCAGACATAATCAGACTTCAGCCGAGCAGAAGCAATTAGCACATTTTCAAGCACGATACAGAAAATACAAGTGCAGCATAAAAATAAGAAAAGCTCAGAAAAGCAAAAGTAAAAGACTTACAGAGCTCTTCAGAAGATCTTCGGATGAAGTAGAAAGTGGACTCGGCTCGCGAGCAACAAATGCAGCTGAAGGTCCCGAAGCGCTGACCCTCCAAGCTTCAGTAACAGCCAATGACTGCTCTTCAGGGCGACGCAGAAAAAAGGGATCCCGCTTCTGATACCACGGCTTCTGAGAAGAATAATCAGTAGGAGGGACAATGTCCAGCTGATTACTTCAAAGAAATGGCGCTCGATCTGCAGGGGGGGTGATTGTTGGATCACGCTGGATCACCACCCTAGACGCGCTAATTCCTAGCAACTCGTAGTTCAGACCGCAATTACTCTCATGCAGCACTGTTTTCGCAAAAGAAAAACAGATCAGCACAAAAAAAATAAAGAGAGGAAAAATTGCAAAAATAAAGAAAAACAAGGACAATTATTCGGCCCCAGCCGAGAGTCTTACCATCCTGGTATTTTTGGCTGAGGCCGACAGCTGCGAGAATCCTCTCTTGGAAGATATAATGATAGCATGGGAGCCAGACTTCAGGAAGCCCAGTTGATCGGCTAGCTCCCCTCGTCCGAGAGTCTCTCTTAAAGAGCAGGAGCTGTTCCTGTTCCTCAGCTGTGAACTCTTCGGGGCCGAGGTTGCCCATATTTACATCAGGCCTCCTCAAATTCCTCGGCACCCCGCAGAAGTTAGGGTGATCCTCTTCCATAGGAGCCCTAACCCAGATCCACTGGCCCCTCCATTCCTTATCGGAGGTGTCATTTGGCCAAGTGGTGTCAAAAACCCCCTTTGGGTCTCAATTCGCCACCACCCAGGTCCATGGGCTTCGTTTGACTGCTGGTTCGGCACCAGCCTATGCAGCTTCCTAAAGACCTGGAGGCTCGACTCATACCCGTAAAACAGACATACCCACAAATATGTCATCACTCTCCTAATGCTAACAGGAGTCAGCTGGCAGAGGGATATGTCATAAGCATTCAGCAGCTGCACTATGAATGAATGCAAGGGGAACCTAAGTCCGAATTGCAGCTGCCGGGTATATACTCCAATATAGTAAGGGGGTGGTCTATGGATTCTATCCTCGGCTCTGGGCATCTGACACCAATACCCATCCTCCTCAAGAACTCCGTAGAAAATCTCAATCTGCTCAGCAAACCTATGAGCAGGGTCCCCCCTTATCCACCAATCGTAGGGGCCAGTGGTTACAAGTCCGTTATTCTCAGCCAAGTTCTGCCACACGTCGGCTCCCTCCCAAAGTCTCCTAGGTCCGTGGGCCGAACCGATAGTAGAACTGGTAGGCTCCTCGAACTCGGGGCAAGGGACCGAACTCAGAGGTACTGCAGCTAAAGGGATCCTAGGGTCACTATCCATGTTCTCGGATCTCCTTAGTAGGGTATTATTTCGGCTTTGGCTCAAAGCAGGCATTCGCTGCAAGGGGCAGTCTCGGCGGTATCCTAAAACAGTCAAAGGCAAGTTTAGGGCCGCGTTTTCAGAACTTTCTCTCTCAGCTCTCACATTCGCCATATTGAGTAGAAGAGTAGAAAATCGAGAAGAAAAGAAGAAAGCTTGAAAGAAATTGAAAACCGAGAAAAATTCGCAAGGAGTTACCTCAGAAGATTCGCAATTCGCCAATCTTGAAAGAGCTACAACAACTAATATGCTCGGTTCAGGGTGTACAGAGAAATTGAAGGAAGAAGTTCAGAGAGAATTCGCAATAAGTGAAATCGCAGTGAGAATTCAGAGAGTGTTTCGTGTTTAAGGCGTGAATGAATGAGGATTTGTGAAGAGGGGCGCTTATATACTACCGAATCCAAGAGATTCTAGAAAAATTAACCGCCCAAAAACCCCACAAATTTCAGGTTCCATTTCGAAATAGTTGTTACACATATTCCCAAGCCACTAATCATTAAAATTCTCTTAACTTCCTTAATTACTCTCCTTAAAGGCAATTTATCATCAATAACTGCCTCATCATTGCTAACCAGTCAAGGTCAATCATCTGTCTTTCGGCTGCGCAATAATCCAAGTTCAGTCAAGGTCAGTCATTTGTCCTTCGGCTGCGCAAAAATCCAAACCCAGCCCGTCTTCCAACCGAGCCGGGTCTGGAGGACAAGTTGTTTGGGTCCAATTTCATCAATTAAATTGGGCCTAGTCCAAATAACTCAATCACAAGCCCAAAGCAAAGGTCAACCCTCCTCCAAAGCATGCTAAGGTCAGTCAAGGCCCAGTCAACTTGGCAAGCCCAATTGACTTCCGGGCCCAGTCAATACTCCATTAAGCCAAGGTATAAAAGCCATTAATTTGGTCCTTTCTCTCGCATGCAATCAAAGCCTCAAGCACTTAACCTCTTGCATAGCTTTCTCTCTCAAAATATACTGACTTTAGCATCGGAGGGGCCTTCCTCGGCTACACCCTCGAGGCTAGTTTACGTGTATTTGCTGTGCAGGAAACCCTCGGCTCCGTCGTCCGTTGGACCGAAGATCGACCTTCCCCTCTAGTTCGGACCTTCTTAAGGTCCCATTGTTTTCTAACCGAAACAATACATATACTCTCCAATAATATTGCAACAATGGACTTTTAGCATTATTCATCACTCTTGTTTGACCATATAATTTGATTTATACGTTAAGCAAAATATAGTCATGTGGGATCTCGTTAGATCCATCTCTTAAAATACTTTCACAATATCAACTTTTTATAATTTTTAGTCTTATACAATTTTAGATATTTAACATATAAAACGTGCTTTAGGATGCGTAATTTCATCCTTGTTGCAATATTATTTGAACGGAGGAAGTATGACATATTTTATTGAAATTAACAAACATGTTTTTTTTTTTTTTTTGAACAAACAAACATGTTTTTTTATTTAATTCATGTTAATTTTGTAAAATACATAACATTTTATCAATCATCACGTTATTTTCAAATCAATGCAATGTTAATTTTTATTCATTGGTTTATTGTTTTGAAGCATATTCATTTTAATTTCGAAACTATGACCAACAAGGCTGTTTTTAATAAAACATCGTGATATTTTTTCTAGAATCGAGTAGTAGCAGTAGTGTACTACTAGTATATATGGGGAAGAGTGATCCGATCCCTTATGGACTAATGCACCAAATAAGTTTCAAAATTATAGAGTATATGTATAATTCGTTGGTACAATTAGATATCAGTGTAATTTCATACGAAATTACAAAATATATTGATTAGATATACAAGAAAATACATTAATATATCTACCATACTTATATGATTCATCAAATTATGGTAGACGGATCTATTTCCAAATTAATAATGTTAGTATGTATAATATATGCCTTCGGCCATCCATCAAGCTCACTAATTCACCGACTAATAATCATTGACCACTATCATCTTCTTTACCCTTTATTATTTCTTCCTTTTTCTTTCTATAGAATTGTGTTCACACAGCGGTGAGCAAATCTATTCCATTTGAATACACTAATAAAGAGATGTAATGTTAGGCAAAAGTGCTTTTTTTTATATCCAATTAACTGTGGATATTACCATATATGTTAGGTGGTCAAATGGTAAAAAACAAGCTTATATAAAGGGGTTGAGATGTCTAGCTAAAATCATAAGATAAAACATCTCTCTAATCAAACATTAACATGGGAAAGATGGCTTCTCTAGTAGTCACTCTATTAGTGGCATTTGTCTCGCTGAGTGTGCCTTCGCTAACCAACGCTGACTACACTTATGCTTCTCCCCCACCACCACCAGCCTACCATTACACCTCCCCACCACCTCCGGTTCACCATGAGAAGCCACCCAAGGAGCATTATTCACCTCCACCGACCACACCTTCTTACAAGTCACCACCACCTTCCCCGGTTTACAAATCTCCACCTCCTCCTGTTCATGAGTATCCAACACCATCACCAATGTACAAGTCTCCACCTGTACACAAGTATCCACCACCAACTCTTGTTCACAAGTCTCCCCCGGTTCATGAATATCCACCACCCATCCCTGTCTACAAGTCTCCACCTGTCTCACCACCTACCCCAGTGTACAAGTCTCCACCAGTTCACAAGTATCCACCACCCACCCCTGTGTACAAGTCTCCACCTGTTCACGAGTATCCGACACTGTCACCAGTGTACAAATCTCCACCTGTACACAAGTATCCACCACCAACTCCTGTTTACAAGTCCCCACCCGTTCATGAATATCCACCACCAACCCCAGTTTACAAGTCTCCACCAGTCTCACCACCCACCCCAGTGTACAAGTCACCACCAGTGCACAAATACCCACCACCCACCCCAGTTTACAAGTCTCCACCAGTCTCACCACCCACCCCAGTGTACAAGTCTCCACCTGTCTCACCACCTACCCCAGTGTACAAGTCTCCACCAGTTCACAAGTATCCACCACCCACCCCTGTGTACAAGTCTCCACCTGTTCACGAGTATCCGACACTGTCACCAGTGTACAAATCTCCACCTGTACACAAGTATCCACCACCAACTCCTGTTTACAAGTCCCCACCCGTTCATGAATATCCACCACCAACCCCAGTTTACAAGTCTCCACCAGTCTCACCACCCACCCCAGTGTACAAGTCACCACCAGTGCACAAATACCCACCACCCACCCCAGTTTACAAGTCTCCACCAGTCTCACCACCCACCCCAGTGTACAAGTCACCACCGGTGCACACATACCCACCACCCACCCCAGTGTACAAGTCACCACCGGTGCACACATACCCACCACCCACCCCAGTGTACAAGTCACCACCGGTGCACACATACCCACCACCCACCCCTGTCTACAAGTCTCCACCTATTCATGAATACCCACCTCCCACCCCTGTTTACAAGTCTACACCCGTTCACAAATACCCACCTCCAACTCCGGTTTACAAGTCTCCACCTGTACACAAGTACCCACCACCCACCCCAGTTTACAAGTCCCCACCAATTCACAAGTACCCACCTCCCACACCCGTTTATAAGTCTCCACCAATTCACAAGTCCCCATCACCTAGTCCAGTCTACAAATCTCCACCAATCCATCATGAGCATCCCACTCCTTCCCCTTATATATACGCTTCTCCTCCACCCCCTTACTAAAAGTTTCAATTTGATTAATGAGGTCAGTTTCATACAATTTCACTAGCTTTTTACATGCATATATAAGATATTTAATTTTCCGACATTACAACTTGGGATAAATACTGAAACTTTGACATTCAGATATTTTTGAAACAATGATTGTTCTACTTTCCTTAACAAGCTTTTATTAGTACGTACTATTATTATATCAAAATAAATGTTACAATATAACTTTCGTACTACAAAATTAAGAAAACAAAATCAAAGAAAAATATGCAAAGTTCAATTCTTTTGAGCTTTAATCAGAATAATAGAAACTCTTATTTATTTTCTCATTTACAGGTAATGAAACAAATTGGAGGATATATCTTTGTCGAAAGAGCTAGAATATGAGATTCTTGAGATAATATACGGAGTACAAAGTTTGTTGTTTTGGTTTGAAATTTAAATTTTTATGTGAATTAATAAATAAGGGAATTAGTATAAGGAAAATTAAAGTTGTATAATTATATCATGTGATCTAGTTGTAATCCAGGGCTTTGCTTGGATACAATTTTGTAATATTATTTTGTAAGTTCATGTTGACATAATAAAATGTTACTCTCCTTTTGGTACGTAAGCTTCTTAACTTTTTTACTATGTTTTGTACCCCTTTAACAAAGTTGGAGAGAATATTATTAACTTACTCCTTATTATAAATCTTAAGCAATTAATAATTTTCTCACTTTCTTCTCTCCCTCTCTGATCCAACTTTTGATGGCTATTGAGCTTTATTATATATGGAAACTAAAAAATTGCCCCTCAAATGCAAAAATGCAGAAGCTCTATTATTGTTTGGACTTGAATATCCATATCTGACACAAATATGCATGTGTTCAAGTAACGAAGTGTAGAAGTACATCGTTTATATTAAACTTACAAGTAAATTAATACGGTGATTAAGGATAGAAGGGAATTCATGAGTAACGACTTACAAGAAAATTCTAATAGTACATTAATGGATTTCAATACCCACTTTTAGTAGAAAATGAACCTATAATTAGACAATCAATGATATAATTCACTATTAGCCTATAGAAAGCTTTCGCTATACCTAAATTTGATATCGTGCAAATTAACCAGAAATGCCAATTAACTTTGTTCTTCAAATAATTTAATTCTACTTTGGCTAATCATAAACTAGTTGTTAATGCTCACCCAATGTACTTTAAATTTCAAAAATATACTGAGTACTATACACAATAATCGATTTAAAAGAATATGTAGAAAGTGTTTATGCTAAATTTCGTCAAGTGGGATTGAATAATAACAAAATCTAAGTTATGAATCAACTAGATAAAACATTAAACGAAAGCAATAGGAAAATAAAGAAACGACACGAGGAATTGGTGACACGGAAAACCCAAGGAAGGTAAAAAACGCGAGTAGAATGAGGATCTACCAAACTTTCACTATGTAAAATATCGAACGAAAAAAGGATTACAGGATATGATCAATGTATTTTAATAGCTAGGTTGTCTTGTGTCCATTGTCGTTGGTATCCTCCCTTTATATAGATAATTTTTTGGGTTGAAAGTAGTCGTTGCAAGGTGATAGGATGAGCTCCTTGTTTTCCGGCAACTACCTCTTGATTCATGGTGTTGAGCTTATCCCCATAACGGGTTGATTCTGCTGGAGGGTAGACTTAGTCTTGGCGCTTATCACTTCCTAGAGAATAGGGAGGTTGTTATCCCAGCTTCGTCCGTCGAGTCTTGTGCTCTAATCATCGATTCTCACTCTTCGTCGCTGACCCTGCCGACCTGCATTGACTTTTACTCACAAGAATTTACCCATAACAGAAAGTAAGGTCATTTAGCTATTTTATGTGGCCTGATATCAAACTCTTTAACAATAGGATGAAGAGCATAGTTATGATGGCTCTTTCAAAACTATATCAGACCATACAAGTTAACCAATTTCCTAGGAATGACATGAGGGAAGTATTACGTAGATCCCACTAATATAAATTTCCATGGAAATTGGAAATTGACTCCTCATTGCAATCAAACATAAACGTACAACTACACATAAATTTACGTACGTGGCCAAGCTACGTCCAGTGGATTAAATACGTTAATTTACTGTTTCTCATACAAAATTATGACAACCAACCTAACAACTAAACATGATTTTGAACAACTTAGGTCCTGTTATTTTGAACTTTTAGGCAGAGCAGAGCCGGAGTCAGCAGATTAAAGCAGGAGTCAGCAGAGCAGAGCAAATTTCATTATTATTATTATTATTATTATTATTATTATTATTATTATTATTATTATTATTATTATTATTACTATTATTATTATTATCACTATTATTATTATCGCATTATTATTATAATTAATAAATATTATTATGAAATATTAATTATTATTATTATTATTATTATTATAAAATATTAATTATTTATTATTATTATTAAATATTAATTATCTTAAAATATTAATTTTTATTATAAAAAATCAATTATTATTATTATGATTATTATTTTTATTATTAATAATAATTATTATTATTATTACTATTTTTTTACTATTTTTATTATTATTAAATATTAATTATTTATTTTTATTAAATATTAATTATTTATTATTATTAATATTATTATTATTAAAAATTAATAATTATTATCTTTAAATATTAGTTATTAACTTTAAAATATTAATTTTTATTATAAAAAATCAATTATTATTATTATTATTATTATTATTAATTATTATTATTATTATAAATATTTTTATTATTATTAAATACCAATTATTATTATTATTATTATAATAGTAATAATTATTATTGAATATTATTTATATATTATTATTAAATATTAAATATTTATTATTATTAAATATTAATTATTTATTATTATTATTATTATTGTTATTAAAATTAATGATTATTATCTTTAAATATTAGTTATTATCTTTAAATATTAGTTATTATAAAAAATCAATTATTATCATTATTATTATTATTAATTATTATTATTATTACTATTTTTATATTATTATTATTATTATTATTTAATATTATTATTATTATAATTATAATTAAATTAAATTAAATTATTTATTATTATTATTATTAAATATTAATTATTATAATAATTCAATATTAATTATTATTTTTAAGCAGAGAGCAGATCAGATTTCAATAGAGCAGAGCATGACTCAGCAGAGCAGAGCAAAACAGCTCTAAAGAACAGGGCCTTAGCCAAATACTTCGTATAATTTACTTCCTATGTTTTCTTGTAATATTCCATTTTATACACTTATTGATATAAAGAACATAAGACAGGATTTTATTTTTTATTGTCAGAATATATGGTACTCCCACCAAACTGTGGAGGACATGAATGAGGATATAGGTGTTTACAGATTGAGATCATATCTAAGAGGTTATAAAAGGCTATCTACTAATGGATTACAAGAATTCTATAAACTTAGAGTAGGAAAGTATTGGAATTTAATCATTTTGTTTTGATTGGATCTATTGACCTCAAAACAATTTAGCTAATGGAATAAGCGAGGAACGTTATTGAGAGATATTAGGCTTCTGTAATGCTCAACTCGTCTAAAACAAATATTTAAAAAAAATCAGATGTACAATAAAATATTATATATCTGCTATAAAGTTACTTTAAAATGGTCAAAAGTTACCTTGTAATGAATGAAAGTTACCCCGTATATATAAGTTACCCTGATGTAAATAAAAGTTATTTATGCTTTATTGATAAAAGTTACCCTACATTCAATAAAAGTTACTTTTACTGTACATCAGATGTATACAAAAGTTTTTGCGCATCTAATACATAAATAAGGCAAAATAAGTTTTGACAAAATAATGTTGTAAAACAATTTTACACACACAAATATGATCTTTTCAAACAAAATTACATTTGTAATTTTAGCTCAAATAAGATAAGTAGAGACAAAATGACTCGAATATAACATAATACGCGTATGCACAATCATTTAATTAACAAAAGTCTATGTTTAGGGGACAAAAGTTTATGGCCTAGCCAACTGCCCAGCATAAAATATAGGTTCAAGCCATAAGTTTACGAGTTACTCGTATTTTGATCACCATGATATTATTTATTTTCGAATTATATATTGTTCAAAACTCATAAATTGACATCGCTTTTAAGCAATTATCAACATATGCACTAGCTAGGAAGGAGTGAAGGACTAAAACGAGTTAGATAATTTAGACAATCAAAAAAGTCACTGCAAAATTAAGAACAAGGATCGTGATTTAGTGGTACGCACGCGAATTTAATTATTATATTCAATAATTTCTTGCAAAAATTCAAAATCTGCCTAACATTTTGACAAAATATATAAATATAATCAATTTTGATGTCTTAAAATAATTTTTCTGCGAGAAGAAAATCAAGTGTGATTCACCAACTTGATGTTATTATTGTCTACCATCAAAATCATTAATATGATTAGATTTGATGACTATATAGCCAGAATTCGTTAATTTGATGAATCTTAGCACAATAAACAGATAATTAGGACTTTTCATTTTCTTTAGGCGTTACACAATCATCAACCTCTTAAGAATTCCTCATTTGTTAATTCGTTCAAATTATGAAGGGCATTTCCTATGGATCGTGTTAAGTTTACCAATATAGACGGCAATTGAAGGGTAATACAGAGGTGATTTTCAATACCCTTCACCATAAGTCCATACAATTAAAGTTATGATTCACCTACATTATACACGCTCATAAATCATAAGGTACAAGTACATGAACAAAGTAATAACGTTACTTGTATTATACGCAAAGTACAACTAAGTATATATAGAAAATTACGTGATTTTCCTTCAAATAAGAATGAAAGGTGTGTTTTCACAAATCGAAGTCCTCATCATAACCGTGTAAGCATTTCTTCAATGCATGGCAACTTGGCAAGAACAATCAAGAATAAATTTTGTGATTGCCGACAAAATATTAAGTATCAATCCGTTGGACTTTATTTAATACTTCTTCCGTTTTTATTTGGTTGACACGTTTAATTTAGGCACACATATTAAGGAGATGAGAGAAAGTGATAAAGTAAGTGGGATACACTAGTAAATGTAAGAGAAAAAAGCTTATTCAAAAAAAAAATGTATCAACTAAAAATAAACTTTTTAAAAAAGAATACGTGTCAACTAAAAACACAAAGGTAAGTAGTTTAAAATATTTGGTGAATGCTGCGAGTGCGTAGACTTTGTGTAAAAAGCCTCTTTGTCAATAAATCAGTACGGAGTTACAATTTGACTGGACTCTTGGCCTCTTGACTTGAATTGGGAGGAACTAACTCGAGAATAGCCAACCATTTTGAGTTTTCAATCAGAGTTTTATTCATGATTTTATCTTTTTCTTCTTACTATATTTGTTATTGTATTTCAAAGTTAACAAAAAATTGCTCAAATTTGAACTTCAAACACGATAGCATTTCATCAACCAAAATTCAAACACTTAATTTGGACCATTTCAAATGAAATACAAAGTACTAAAAAAACAAATAAACCATAGGTCGATTTCAATAAAATCAAATTATTGTCCCTAAAAGATTACTCTTTT